TATTTTCCTCATGTCTGAGAAAAATTCATATAATTTCAAAAATTGTGTGTAGTAATTATCACAGAGTAAATTTTTATATAGTAGTATAAATAATTTATGTTTTTAAAAGAATCTTATTATATAATTACTTCTTTTCTTAAATAGCTTTATGTTAGTAGGAGAGCCTTTTGCTGCTAAGACAAAAGTTCTGCATGTGCTGGCTGATACTCTGACTCTTATGAATGAGCGTGGCTATGGAGAGGAAGAAAAGGTCATTTATAGGACTGTGAACCCTAAATCCATTACTATGGGCCAACTTTTTGGACAGTTTGACCCAGTATCTCATGAGGTAATCTACAAAACAACATTCTCACCTCTCTTGTTGACAGTGCATATTAAACCAAGAAATTTGAAGTGTTTTCATAGTTTCGCTGCTAAATCCAGTTTTATGAAGCGAGTTTTCCAACTCTTCCTTTTTTTCCTCAGTGGACTGATGGTATTGTGGCTAACACTTTTAGAGAATTTGCCTTATCAGAAACACCTGACCGGAAATGGGTTGTATTTGATGGTCCTATTGATACTTTGTGGATAGAGAGCATGAACACAGTATTGGATGATAATAAAAAGGTAAATCATCATTTATTAAAAACAAAGCAGATTTAGTTAGACATGATTGAGCAATTTTATGTATTCACCAACTAATCAACTAGGACCATATATTTAGAATAAAAGATGCAGCAAGTGGAATAGATTTATTAATATAAATGATCTTTTCAATGAAAACTGTGCTACAGTAAACACTTTGCTTAGTTTTTTTATAGAATGAAAGTGTATTGTATTAAAACTTTACTATGTTAGCAGGAAGGCATAGTAATCTACTGGGTAAGAATAAGTTGTTAAGTGAATGTCGGTCTTATGGTTTCTTAATAACTTTAATATTTTAGGAGAAAATAAAAAGTCTTCATTCCTTTTGAAAACATTGAATGCTTCAGTGCTTATATGTAGTATATTACCCTAGAAGTTGTGAGATGTATGAAAGAACTAAAAGTAAAAATCTTTTAATATTTATTTTAATTGAGAGATAACATACAGTATAAAATGTGCACTAGTTTTACATGTCTCTTATGCTTTGTTTATTTGTTTTCCTTTGCTTTTCATTATTTTCTTTCTGTGCTTTAGTTTGGGTACTTTCTTATTGGCCTGTCTTTAGGATTAATGATCCTATCTTAACTTTGTCCAGTTTTCCAATAAACCCATCCAATTAAGTCCCCCCCCAATGAATTCTTAGTTTCACATATTTTGGTTTTTATTTCTAATGTGTCCAATTTAGTTCTTTTTAGAGATTCCATATCTCTGCTGAAATCCTGTATCTTTTCATCTGTTTTTTCCATCTTATTATCTATGTTCTTAAATACTTTATAAAAGTTATTTTAGAGTTCTTATCTGTTAATCATGACATGTGGGTCATCTGTGATTTTATTTTGTTTACTGTTTTTTGTCTTGGTCATCAGCTATTTCTCATGACTTGTAAGTTTTGATTATATGTTAAACATTGTGTATAAAATAATTATAGGAGCTAAACTGGTATTATTAATATTTTCCTGCAGAAATACCATGATTTTGTTTTTACAGCATTATTGAGCTATAGTTTATCTCTCTGGTTTCAAATGTCTTTAGAGTGATAATTGTCCTGTTGTATTTTAGACCCCTTCCTCTAGCAGGATTTTGGGATCTAGGTATCCTGACACTAAATGTGCTCAGCTAAAGCATGGGCTGTGGGGAGAACTAATTTCACATTTGGAGCTCCTCCAGATTCAAATCTGTCACAAAAGCCCACACAACCATTAAAATTTCTATTGGTTTCTCCTTACTTTAGCAAAAGTCCCTCTGTCTATAGAAGGCCCAATCTAATACCCACTGTGTCCAGACTTAGAAAATGGATCCCATGGGTGAAAACAGCTGTTTTATTTATTTATTTATTTTCCTTTTATTTCATCATATTATGGAAGTACAAATATTGTTAGAGTTACAAATATTGCCCCTGTCCCCCTCCCTCCCCCGATGTGTCCAATGCCCCGGTGGTGTGCATCCCACACGTTATGAAAGCACACACCCCTTTCCTCCTCCCCCTCCTCCCTGCCCACCACCTGATAAATTTTTCTGACATTTTGGATTACATTGATTCTGGCTCTCCTAAGAGGTTAGAGTTATGCCTTCCCTTCCGAAGTGCTCGCGCTACATCCTAAGATTGGGTCCCCATCACCTGTAGCATTGCCACCATGTTGAAATACCCATGAGTTTTAACAGTCAGTACCAATGTGTGATTTGTATTTAACTAGAATTTGTCCCGCCTTTCTGAAATTAGTCTGTATTTAGATTTAGTTGTATCCAAGCACTCCTATGTCTGTTAAAAAAGATTTTTTTTTGAGGACAGAGTCTCACGTTTGTGTGCCAGGCTAGAGTGGTGGCTGTGGCGTCAGCCTAGCTCAACAGGCAACCGTCAGAACTCCTGTGCCTCAGTGATCTACGCTGCGGCCTGCAGGCCTCCAGTAGGCTGGGGGACTACAGGGCATGTGCGCCACCGATGCCCGGCTATTTTTTCTTCTTATATTATATTAGTTTGGCCAATTAATTTCGTTCCTATTCTATTTTAGAGACGGTGGTTCTCCCTGTTGTCAGGCTTGTTTTGGAACTCCGGACCTAGGGGCAATCTCCCGTTCAGCGTCCTGCCCAGGAGGCTAGGATTCAGTGTCGTGATGGCCCAAATTCTTTCTTGTGTAATTTTCGGATAAATTGTAGAGAGGTGTTCTTAAGAGAAGATATAAGTTAAAGATATGGGTATAAAGAAAGTCGCTGTGGGCTTCATGAAGGCACTATGTACATGATTTTAAAATATCATTTTATAAAAATGAATTTTATTTTTCTTTTATTTCAGGAATTTTTGGAATGTGCTCACGAAGCCTGCAATGTACATAATCTTCAGCCTGTTAAATTTTTTCTTGAAAAAATGATTCAGACATATGAAATGATGATTGTTAGACATGGGTAAGATTATAGACTCTTGGTTATAGTTAAATGTCATTTTTAAATTAAACTGTTAAAACAACTAAAATTGATGAACCAAAGACTCAGCAAATTTTGTATACTAGGTAGGCTAGAAAACAAACAACCCCTCTCTTCCCAGTGGCTTAAAAAGCAAAGGTTTATTTCTTTCTCATACAAATCTTTTTTGGGGGACAGAGTCTTACCCTGTGACCCTGGGTAGAGTGCAGTGGCATCATTGTAGCTCACTGCAGCCTCAAACTCTTGGACTCAAGGGATTCTCTTGCCTCAGCCTCCACAGCCCCGGCTAATTTTTATATTTTTAGTAGAGACAGGGTCTCACTCTTGCTCAGGCTGGTCTCAAACTCCTGAGCTCAAGCGATCCTCGCGCCTCAGCCTCCCAGAATGCTAGGATTACAGGCGTGAGCCACCATGCCCGGTCCAAAGATTTTAAAAATCTAATCTTTTGCTTTATTTAATCCTACAAGTCCCTGAATTTCTAGATTCCCTCTATTCTCTTTCATTCCTGCTTACAAACTGGCTATTCCTGTCCCCCAAACTCTTTCTTAGCTGCAGTCATTAGCTGCCATTATATACTAATGACATTGTTTACTATACTTTCCCCCTAAAACTCCAATTTCGTTAGTTATATTATCTGTCTTCCAGGTTATCTCAAGAGATAAATTTATGAGATGTTTCATCATTGCATAACAATGATTGCCAATCTTTTAGGCTCTGATAACTGTTCATTTTCCACCCACAACCTGACTTCTATGCCAATGCCATATATTTTAGTCTTTAAAATTAATATTATGACAAACATACTCCTAGGTACCAAAGATTTATTTCTCACTCACATGTGTCCATCATAGGTTAGCAGGAAGGCTCTGCTCATCATAATTACTGAGGGCCTAAGGCTGTTAGAGTAGGCACCACCCCAAAATTGTGGGTCAGAGCTGTGCCAAAGGGAGAAAAGGGCTCTCTGTAAGATCTCCAGGTACCGATTATCTACCCCGTCATTTCCATGTATTACTCTTGGTTAGAACTAGTTACCTAGTCTTTCCACAAGAGGGCCAGGTACCCTATATGTGCCAGAAATATTTGGCAAAGAGTGCTAGTAGTATACTAAGTGAAGACGTTGGAAACAAAAATCTTTCCCACTCCTCTTCTTTGGGGGACTCAAGTCTCAGGGTTTTTGTTGTTGTTGTTGTTGTTTGAGACAGAGTCTCACTCTGTTGCCTGGGCTAGAGTGCCGTGGCATCAGCCTAGTTCATGGCAACCTCTAACTCCTGGACTCAAGCAGTCCTTCTGCCTCACCTCCGGAGTAGCTGGGACTACAGGCATGCGCCACCATGCCCAGCTAATTTTTTCTATATATTTTTAGTTGGCCAATTAATTTCTTTCTATTTTTTAGTAGGAGACAGGGTCTCACTCTTGCTCAGGTGGTTTTGAACTCCTGACCTTGAGCAATCCGCCTGCTCGGCCTCCCAAAGTGCTAGGATTACAGGTGTGAGTCACCATACCCAGCCTTTTATCAGTTTTAAAAAATAAAGTACTTAATCTTCTTTTATTCTCCAAATAAGATGAAAATTAAGAAAAGTTTGAGATGGAATTGAATGAAAATTTTAAAATAAAATAAAATTTAAGAAAAGTATCTTATTCTTTTCACTTTGTAGGAACTGCTTACTACAAGTAATAGCAATGTGGTCGTGTCTCTCACACGTCTCTTTGAAGTCCTGCTCTGTGATGTGGTAGAAAATGATCCTACTAGCAAGCACATCCGTGTTTGGATTATGGTTGGTTTTATACATAATGTGGTTTTTAATTACTGAATAAAATATGCTTCTGGAAGATGATATTTGTATTGAGAAAGACATTACAAGATTCAAAGCTGATTTTTGGTGAGATTAGACAGAATATTTATCCTCACCTGATATTCTGATATTAAAAAGCACTTTAGAGAAAGTAAATTATATCAGAAAGAATCAAAACTACTCTATTATTTATGAAAGATCATAATTTGATAAACAATAAAGTGTTAGTAGTAAACCAATTTGGACTTTAGGGGAATTGACTTTGTCTTAATGTCAGCCAGCATGTAGCTACCTGTGACAGACCAGGAGCAGGCCTCTGACCAGCTAAGTGGAGCGTTGTCATGGAGGACTTAGGTAGGCAACCTACAAGCTACCTGTGACAGACCAGGAGCAGGCCTCTGACCAGCTAAGTGGAGCGTTGTCATGGAGGACTTAGGTAGGCAACCTACAAGCTACTGTGACAGACCAGGGCAGCCTCTGACCAGCTAAGTGAGGTAGCGTTGTCATGGAGGACTTAGGTAGGGAGAGGTCAGTAGTCCTGGTTAGCTAATGTCTAGAGGTCAGGGAAGGCCAGAGATCTTGGCACTAGTGAGCAGAAATTACCAAAGGAAGCCAAAGGAAAGAGGGTTTTTGTGTTCTTTTTCCTGGTTTATGCTACTTTCCCTGTCTACTACTTTATTCCTAAATGCCTTGACTGCCCCCCCCACTCTTGGCAATAGCATTTCTCTCCCATTGTTTTCCCTTTATCATGCTGTGGCAATAATCTTCTATTTCAGATATCTCGTGTTCCAGGCGTCCCTGCTTGGGTAACCTTTTCTTTGTTAGAAGAAACTTAAAACATGTTTGAAGTATAATTATTTATCACTTTTTCTCCGTAGGTTGGAACCACCCTTCACAGAACTGGTTTTAAATATTCTTCCATACCTATCAGTGTTACCTTTATAAAATAGAAGTATCCTAGCAATAGTTTATCTATCAACCTTCAAGTTATATATTTACTGGAAATTTTCGTTCTGTTGGTAATCCTAAACTCCCAACTTTTTCAAATGGTTCAGAAACACTTTAGAGACTTAAAAGAGTTGATACTGATTGAAAATTTTCTCTTAAAATATATTTGATTTAGTTTTTACTAAAAAATACACGTTTGCATATTATATGTACGTAATATGTATCATTCTCACTTATGTCTTTGAGATTGTTCCATATTGGTACTTACACAGTT